AACAGTTTCCTGCTCTTAATAATGTACTTTGGTGTGAGAGACGTTGTTGAATCATATAGGTAAACTGTTCTCTCATTGTAACACATTTTCTTTTAATTTGTCTTTTAGCACCACATGACCTATACTTAATTCCAATTCTATAACCATCTTCACCGTATGGAAACAACAAAAAGGTATTACATCACTATATATAATGGATGTAAACTGCTTATTCGTTGAAAACCTTCAGATCTATATTCAATAGTATATCACGTTGATTAATCAATTATTCTAAGTCTCAAACAATTAATCCAGTAATCTTAGGAGTTGTTGGAGCTATATAAGTTCTATCTTGATCAAATATGTTCCTTAACAACCTCAGTCTAATATTAGATACTTTTGAATTAATAGATCTATCTCTAAACATTTTGAAAACTTTAACAACTTCATTATGCTGGTCATGCGTATCTAACAAACCTCAAATCAAGCTGTCATCAACACCCCTAACATTTTGATCACAATTTAAAGTGGTTTTCTTATTTTGAATTTTATTCTCTGCGTCATAAATGTACAATTGTACAAATTAAGGCTTTTAACTTGGTTATGGAGTCAAAGATCCTAACCTATGATAGTTTTGGCACTAATTTTGAAAATTTAAGGCCTTAGTTTCATATTTATTAAATGATCAACTTTTGCACTTAATGAATTAAACTAGAACATTACTTTATAAACTCTAATATTTTCTCTAAAAACTATAACTTTGCCACGTATTTCATAATTTAGCAATCTATATAAGAATTTTGGTGTAGGCTTTAGAGTGGAAAGGTGAACTCAACCCTCCCTACAATATTAAAAAAATGTTGGATGTTGACTCCTCATAGAATGTCGACTCTCTCATCATACCACATCAAAACTCCACAAATGGACATGCACATGTTAGGCCTTTAAAGTTAACATATGTTGTATATGTTCCTAAAGTTTTTTACAAACAACAATAGGATAGTGGATTTGTTAAAAACATATCTTTCATTTACTAATCTAATAATTTAATATGTTTTTGAAATCAAATCTACTTACTTGAATAAGGTTGTTGGTTTTCTTAAGTAGTTGGTTGATTAGGTGAAATATGCCTAATAGGTTGGTTGCCTACAAAAATTTTCATCAAGCAAATTAGGATTTTATTTCAAAGGAAGGTAAGTTTTTTCAATAATTTCTCAACTAAATATCTTTTGGTATCTTAATTATGTACCTAATTAATAAAAAGGTATATTCTTGAGCTACTACTACAGGTTCTGTCAATAACCATTGTATGCTCATTTGAATCAGTGTTGCTTAACACAACAGAGTTTTTTTCACCATTTGAAGATTGAGATTCATGTACATTTAATTCAGACCTAATTGAAGAATCTTTAATGTACAACCTCTAATTTTGCAAGTTGTTAAATGATGAAGGGGTGTATTTCCTTTTCCTCCTTTCTTTTAAAATTTCATATCTAATAACTTTGTTATTTCTACTTGAAACTACTTTATCAAATTTCATTTCAATTGTACATAGAAAATGTAACAAAGAATTAACATCGATTCGCATCATATTGGGATAATAGCTCAAAATCCATTATCATAGGAAAAGAATCATCATTTGCAACAACAGTTAATACCGGATTTCATCAACTTACAGAAAAAATAGAAGCTTTGGTTTGAAGTTGTTGGAAGGAGGCTACATAAAATTCAATGTAAAACTTTGTAAGTCTACTTTATAAATCTCATAAGCTTAGCATATTAATTGAAACATTATACAAAGAATCAAACTGCTTAAACAATTTCATTATAATTTTTGGTAAAAACTGGAGAAAAAATCGATTAAAGATATCCTAATGAAACAATAACAATTGTAGATTGATGTATTTGATTTTCTTTGTAAGAACAAAACCCTACAAGAAAAAATGGTAACTACAATAGTGAATTTTTGAAAATTTTCTCTAACACAACAACTACGATATGGGTATTTTGTAACAAATGATAAATTTTGAAAACATGGATTTACTTACCTGGGCTTGAAAAAACAAAGGATTCGAATGGCATGGATAACAATGACCCATCAGAAGCTTGATTTTCTCACGAAATTGGTAAAGGAATGAACAATCATGTATTTGAGGATATAAATAGTTTGAAAACAATTAAAGAGAGGATTTCAATGGGTATGGATTGATATGAATCGTGTTGACCATTTAAGGTTTTGAGAAAATTTAAGGGAATATTAACAAACATTGTTGTGGATTCAATGAATTTCAATAAACCAAAAATGTGAATAATTATTAGGGATTTCAAATAAATAGGTTAGATGAATAAATGAAAGGAAAGCATAAATTTTTTTGGAAATCTTTTCATTTTTTTACAAATTAATTTTGTTGAGAAAAATTTGTAGATCTATTGAAAAAGTATTAGATTCAAGGTATGGCTAATGAAATTCCAAAAACATGAAGAAAGACCATAGAATCAGAACTAAGGAAATTGAAGAAAATCATATTTTTCATTTAATGAGTAGATGATTTTCCCTCTAGTAATAATGGAAAGATTCAAAGATTCAAAGCATTTCTCACAAATATAATAATAAAACAAAAATATGAGGAAATCGAGACCTTTCATTGAATGATTCCAGATAAAAAAAAAAAGGAATTGAATGGTTGAAAAAAAAATTTATAGATAAAACACATTAAGAGCTTTTATTATATAGTTGAAAAGTAAAAAAAAAATGTATAGTTATTTGAGATGTTGACATGTGTCAACAAAATAGATACCAAGGAAAAAAATAGTAGTATGTTAGATAATATAATTATTTAATTTGTTAAACCGATGTTTCATTTATTTATATAATTCTATAATTAATTAGTTAATCCTACAATCCTATATATAATTATTAGTTTATTACTTGTCCAATGTATAAATTATTTTTATTTATTTAAATGTATTTTGATATATAAATTAATATTTAATATTTAGATGTTCAATATATATGTAAACTATAAATAATATAATTAAGATATCAAAACATAAAAAAAATTAAAATTTTTATTTAAAAGAATTAAAAATTTTAAAATATATAATAATATTTAAGGAAAGATAAAATATCCAAAAGATTTATATATAAATTGTATTATTGAGTACACCAACAAAATATTAAATTGAAAACTAAAAGTTTCATCATTTAAAATTAATTTTATTCAATTTCTGCCATATCTATATTGTGTAATAATTTTTATATACATGCAAGTTTATATAATTTTAAGATAAATTTTTTTATTTGAAAAAAGTAATGATTTTAAATGTTTAAATAGTATATGTGATAACTTACTTATATGTACATTTTTTGCATGAATTTTAGTAATATTTTGATCTCTAACATCTATAAGATTTGTCAAATGAATTCTTATAATTGTTTAAGCTTTACATTTGATGTAAAATTATGTTACTATAAAAGTTAAAATGAAATAGTTTTAAATTTTAAGTAATAATCTTGAATTTTAAAAAGTTATTTTAAAAATTTATTGTTAAAAGGTTTCAATGAGGAAGTATTAGTTTTCATACATAAAATTTTATAATCAATTTCAAAAGCAAAAACATTTACTTTTTGTTTTTAATACTTGCGTTTTGCTTCTGGAAACAATCAATAATACTATAAAAGAATTAGATTATAAAATTTAATTTCAAATGAATAAACATAATTTTATTTTTATATTAAACAATTATGTCAGAATTAGTTATGCATTTTAGTTATTTACCTTTATTTATAAATTAAAAAAAAAAGTGCAACAAAATCAACAAGTAAAAGTAAGCCTATACAAATTTTTTTAAAATAAATAAATAAAACCAACAAATAATGCTTAAATAATTAAATCAATATTTTTTACCTTCAATTGTCAAAATACTTTGGAAGAGTTATTATTGTAATAGATCAATCTTCTTCCTCCACTCCAACAACCATGAATTGTGAAAAAATTTCTATAAAAACCATGCATACACTTTTGAGCAAACAAAAAATATTCAAAATTTTCATAAAAATTTTTAAAAATAAAAAGTATTGATTTTAATTTTTTAACATGTAGATGCACATATCATAAAAAATATAGTAAATAATTGTGTATCTCATATATAAATAAGTTATAAAAATATAATAAAAAATTTTGTATATCTCACAGGTTAAAGAATCATTTTTTAAAGCATAAAAGTTGAAAAAAATAAAAAAAATAAATTAACATTGAGAGTATCATTAAAGAATAAGTTATCTTTTAATGTTTGTAATATTCTATCTTTTTAAATTTAAAAATAACCAAATAATAAATAACTATTATGAAATCTCTAAAAATAAAAATTATATTTTCAAATTTCAAATGATATATAATTTAAATATTAAAAATCCGTTTCATATTTAAATTTTTAGATTTAAAAAGACGTATATTTATACTATTAGAAAACCTATTTTAAAAGATAATTTATCACTATATTTAAAATTTTAAATTAAAAAAATAAATTTTTAAAAAATAATATATTTAAATTAGATTTGTTGTTGACAATTTAAAAATAATTGAATTGATCTTTTAGTTAAATTTAAAACTTTTGAACAATTAAATAAATTTTTAAATATATATTATTTTATAAATAATTTAAAATTAAAAAATATTTAATATGTTATTTGTAAAAAATTTTAAAATTTTTTTACGTATCAAAAAACTATCTACCTTGTAAATCTTCACATAAGCAATTTTGTCAAAATTTTATGTATATTTTAATATAATATTATATATGATATATAATGTATTTTCTTTATATCTATTTTTTTTATTAAAGGATAAAAACAAAGTTAATGGATTTCAAATTCTTTATAACTATTTTTTTATTAAACTTTCTTAACCACTAAGCAAAAAATTGAAAACTTCTTTGTGCCTATCTTAAATGGGTAACGTGTTCAAGTCAAGTGTATATTAATAAATCAGTCTTAATATGCATGCACCCATCAGCAGCTCTTCTATGTTCCAGTGTCATTCTTTGACTTTTGAGTTCATAGGAAATTTCCGAGTGCGAGGCTACGGAATTATATATTTTTCGTTTTACTAAAAATAGTTTTTTAAAAATAATTTTTAAAAATTAGTTTATTTTTTAAAAAATTTGATTTTTATTTTTGTTGTGTGAATGTTCATCTTAAAAAAAAATGTATATTTTGAAAATTAACGACGACCCAAAATGATTTCTACAAAAACCACAGTTTTAATGCCCTCCCCTTTGAGTTTCACATTTGCCACCAATAAAAATTAGACAAAAAAGGAGAAAATAATAGTAATTTTTAGCTAGCTAGTTAAGCGTTAATGGATAGTGATAGCAATATGGATTTTGTGAAGCTCGTTGGTGGCGTTGCGCTAGTAATTTTGTTTCCATCAATAAGAGATGCAGCAGTTCGATAAATTTTGTGCTTTCTCCATTTCTACTATATTTTTGCCGAATTTTCAATTTATTGATGCTATTGATCAATCTAATTTTTAAATACGATTACTTTGATAGGCTTTCGCTGCGAAAAGGTTAAGAAATAGCAACTTGGTGAAAGTCTTAACCTTTGACCCGAAGTAAAGAACACGCCAGCAAGAGGACCACTAAAACCAACGGAGATTCAATTACAGTTTTGAAGTACACAACATTCTGTACCAAGAGGCATCCAGGGGAAAATGAGTAGCATCTTTTCCAAGTTTTTAATTACCATTTTTTTGCTGTTGTTACTGTCATCAAATTGTAGTGGGATAAGAGATGGAGAAGATCAGAAAGCTGCCAACGATACATGTGTAATGCGTTGTAGCGCCGCCAAAGATACACACCAGATCCAATTAAGATTCAACCATTCGCATGGGAAAGTTGCCCCCATAAATCTGGATGGTAAGTATAGTTTTAGTAGTATTTCATTACTAGTTTGTTTATCATTCATCTTTGGATTTTATTCTATTCTAAGTAGCGTAAATGCCTAAACCCTAAAAAAAAAAAAGGAAAGAAAGAGTGCAGTAATTCATAGCATTTTATTTGATCATCTCCCGGTCTTATTGAATTTTAATCAAGTTAGAATTTGATTTTACAGTTTAGTTGTTGATTTGCTTTTAATAATTTTAATTTTAGTTTTTTATCATTTATTATTGCTTTGTAATAATTTTTTTTGACGAGTATTAAAAGAGAAGTCACAAAAACAACATGTAACTACATCTTGTATTCTTACATGGATCATATATCTTTTATTCAAGAAATTATTACCAAAATGGATCAAGGTTTTCAAAGTGTTATGTGATTATATTATTATTATTGAAGGTTTTTGTTCGATTTCCAATGAAGCCGGATATACCTGTTACAAGAGTACAAGCTGGAATTAATCCAGAAACAACAGTCAACTGATTTATTTTTTTTTAATTACCCTTCCATATAGAATGAACAAAAGCACAATAGTTTTGAATGCTAAAAAGTACTGATTGCACCAGCTGCAATCTTTTAGGACCCCAAATGTTAATTTTGTCTGCTATCTTCCGTATAAGGGGGTCACAATGTTTATCAGTTAGCCTACCAGCGATTAAGGGTACACCTAGGTAACTAACTTGCAGCTGGCCAAGCTTAAAACCTGTTGTCTGTTGAAATTTGAATGTCCTGCAGCTGGCATAAAAGAGCTCGGTTTTATTGCTATTGAGTATGAGCTTAATTTTGTTGCTGAATGAATGTGTGATTAATTCAAAAGATCTCACAAAATGAAGCTGCTGAACATTATTGCAGATCATTATCAAGGTTATGTGGCCATCAGAAATCTGAGTCCAAAAAATTTACCAATTCTTTGTACGGTCACAAATTATGAAACTGCATTTACTGCGGAAATCAATGAGCTTATCAGGAGAACCAATGCGACCGTAATTTGTGCTCTGCCTGCGAAAGATAAAACAACAATGGAAAACGAATCTTCAACGAGTTACGTGTCTCGCCATATGTATGACATCACTCACCAAATTGCTAGTCTACTTGGCAATTACCAGTGGTTAAAGCCTGGAACGTTTGATGGAGACGAGTTGGACAGAGTTAGTGACTTAGACATCGTTGCTTTCAACTTGAATAGCCGTCCAACGCAAAATGCAGGTGGGATTATTCAAATGGCTGCTACTTTATCCTTTTCCACATCCCGGCCACTTAAGTATTTTACAGAGTTAAGCATCGCCGTACTAGTAAGAGCGACTCCCAGGCAGTTTGCTAACACAAGTCTTGACGAAAACCACATGGAAACACATATTACTGGGTTCTGGGTTGATATTTTTAAAGCAGCTGCTGCGATGATGGACGTCGATATCACCTATAAACTGGTTCCGTTCAACGGATCTGATGATCAATTGCTGAAAAAAGTTGCTGATTCGGTCAGTTTGTTCCTTGTAGTCTGTTCTCTTTTCCAGCTCTGCTTGTTTTCAGTCCTAACTCTGCCATGATGTAAAATTTACAAAAAATTGTAGGTAAAATAAGGAATTAATAGAGATAAAGTTTATTAATTTTAAGTCTTTTCAACAGCTTCGAATATACGAATCTTAAATGGAATTATAAGAGAATCAACCACTTGATTAATTAACTAGCTTAGACTTGGTCTAATAGTGATTGTTATGATGTTACCTCTCTTAAAAAAAAAAAAAAAGATTACAAAAATTTTCTATGTATTATCAATTAGCAGCTGACTGATTGAAATTTGAATTTTTTTTTTTTATGTACATTGAAGACTTACGATGCAGCCATTGGCTTATCAGTAATTACAGAAGAACGATCCCAGCTTGTAGGATTCTCATATCCCTATTTTGGAGTAGGACCGGTGCTAGTGATGAAGAAAAATCTTGAATTGAACCAAGTTTTTTCATTCATGATCCCTTTCACCATCGAGATGTGGCTTACCATGGCATCTATGACTGTTTTCACTTGTTTTGTTATTTGGTTAGTTGAATGTAGAGGTGGTAATGAATCTGGTGATTTGCCTTTTAGACAAGTTAGAGCTATCTTCTGGTTCCCTTTTGCGATTCTCTTCTACGGAGTACATAGTAAGATATAATCTATTGTGGTTAATTTTAAATTTACATATTTTCACCTTGTTCTTGAGTATTTTATATGGATAACATCACTTACAGTTACCACACTACATTGTAGAATACAAGCACCTAGAAATTTAACCCCGACACTAATAGTAGGGTCCTTAGCTGTCTTCTGCTTCATCTGCCACAAAATACATTAGTCTAGTATCCTCCTCTCTACCCCATATATATATATATATATATATATACACATACCTCCTTCAAGTTTCAATCTTCCCTACCACTATCTCATTGCATTTACTTGTTTGCAAAGCTACTTTAACCTATACTTAGAACACCCTTCATATTAAAACATGCAAGTGCATTTTTATATGCTTTCTATATACTCATGCATATGCATTTGGAAGGCTCAAAGAGTCATATAAATTTGATTCAATTTTATAGCAAGTTAAAAATTCTAATTAGAATTTGGGGGTATAAGGCTATCAGCACCGAGTATTGTCAGCCCATTTAAAAGCACTAAACCCATATTTTTAAGCCTACTACTACATAAGGGGCTTTCTAATGGGTTTTTTCTAAGAAGAATCTCAATTGAAAGACTATTGGGAGTAATTGAGGTTGTTGAATTTCTGAGATTTGAGTGCATATATCTGTTAATGAACATTGGCTAATAGGTCTCAAACACCTTATCTGAAAAAACCTTATCTAAAAGCCAATTAGACAATATCAGGTGCACTTCTTCTACACCACTTATGTTTGTAGGACTGCAACAGATTTCCGTGGAAACTGAAAGTTCTGTCCAATAAGATTGAATTACTGATGGACAAAATAAGGATGTCCATGTTTGCCGTTAAAGTAGTATTATACCACATCTAATAAACATCCAATATCCTGTAATCTTATATTTAAGTTGGATCCCTACACTTATAACAGTTTTGAGTTGGATGTTTAATATGGTATCAGACCTATAGGTCCCTCCACTTGCAATCAATTAGTTTTAAGTTGGATGCTTATCATTTGTAACTTATTGGTTATGAACTTTCAAAGGTGTGTGTAAATACTAAATAGAACGTAAATAGGAACTTTTGGCATGGCTTGAGGAGTGTTCAATAATGGATGTTATAGGGAATGGCTTCTCTGTTGTGACTCTGTTTTTGAGTTTTTCTGGAACCGGTTTTAATTTGGAATGGGAAGGCAGATATGCACTTTGCTCTGTAATCAACTTGTTATGTCTAGTTTATCATTGCAATTGTGATTGAAAATTATATTGAAAAAGTTGCAAATTACAATTTTTATATTGCAATATCAGCAAAGAGAATAGTCCAAGAATGAAGTTATGCTAATCAGTTATTCATAAAATTTTCATATTGCAGGAGAATCACCCAGGAACAGCTTAACCTATTTTGTGCTTGCCCCATGGTTATTACTGATTCTGGTTGTGGCTTCAACCTATACAACGAGTTTTACTTCCATGATAACAAGCTCAGAGACTGAGACATCTTGCTTAGATATAGAAGATCTCAAGAAAACAAATGCTATTATCGGTTGTGATGAGGATTCTTTCATCTTCCAGTTTCTAGTGGAGTACCTTGGATTTCAACCAAAGAATATCAAGAACTTTACTCAATCTTCAATCGATGATTATGCGAAGGCTCTATCAAGAGGAAATATAAAGGCTGCCTTTTTTTTAACTCCTTATGCCGATATTTTCCTTGCAAAATACTGCAAAGGTTTCCAGTCATGGAAGCCAGCCCGTAACCTACGCGCTTCTGCAGTTGTAATATGAACAATGCTCTTCAGTTCTTTTACTGGTTTTAGTTAATTAACCTTGTTAATGTATTGTTCAAGCGTCCGGCCATGTCTTTTAACCATTTTAATATTGTATTACAGGTGTTTCCACGGGGTTCTGCTTTAGTTTCAGATATGTCAGAGGGGATGCTGCGATTAATGAGCAGCGGGAAATTCAAGCAAATGAAGGAAGAGATGCTATCTTTTGCGGATTGTTCGAGTTCAACGATTGATGGCACCATAAAACGAGGAATAGGACCGGGGCCTTTCTCAGGCTTGTTTATTTTATCAGGCGGGGCATCTGCAATCGCAATGTTAATCACTGTGGTTCGTCCGATGAAAAGACGTTGGGAGAGCTTCATTCAGGGAATGTTGATGGGTAGAGGACTTTGGGTGTGGCTGACAACTCTGTTTTTTCAAAGCCAGAGGAGAAATGAGCTTCAACTATCAAGCATAAGCTCCACTTCCCAGACACAACTCAGCAGCTCTTAGCATATATATTATCCTGTAAACTAAGTACTAGTAATTAGCTATCAAACATATATATATATATAAAAAAAAAAAAAGAATCCAGGGGTTAGATTTCATTTCCCTTCGCTTTGATTAGCATTATTACACGAGTTGCCACTGGTCCCTGGACCCATATGATAAAGGAGATGTGAAGTATATAGCTTGCATGTTTGTCAATATTAAGTTTGTGTATCTCCAGAATGTCTCTGATCTATGGGATGAATAACATCGTGAACTATATGAAGCAAAGAATAATTCCGGGGAAGAGGATATAGTTTCAGAACGAACTGCTGGCTAAGTGCCGGCTGTACGTCTGTCAGCAACCAATAAGAATAAAGTCAAACCATATAATTTTTCTTATTAAATAAAAGATCGAAACACCGAGAAAGGTTTAATGTTGACCCAAAATTGGTTCTTCCATACCACTTGGCTTACAAATTGGTTCCATTTTATGGCTTTTGTGACAATTGGTGGAGGAAGTTACCGGCAATGTCAGTATCAATTTTCTTTCGAGCACTCTATTTTTTTTAGTCCTGCAAAGAAGATTTCATAAAGAATCTATGCTACGATGGACCCACTGAGGCCTGGAAAGATTCTTATGGGATTTGATTATGATTTCGAAAAGTTTTTTTCTCAAAAACCATTTTTACAGTAACTCCTAGTCGAGCCAAATAAGCCTGTGGCAAGTCAATTTTATCAAGAACAAGCAATCACTCTACATTCTCTGTCCTAAAACCCTTTCTTTATTTCAATTCATCAATATTCTTTTACCAACAGAAAATTTAAAATAACCAATAACATCGAGAGTAAGACTGATAAGATTTTGTAATTGTAGTGAATGATAGGTTTAGGAAAAATCAAAACTTTTAGAGATGAATTAAGAAAGATATGAACAAATCAAAATTTCTAAAGATAAATCAATAAATATATGGATACAAATAATACGAAATAATATGAGATTTAAAAAAATAGATGAAATTATTGTCTTTTTATAAAAATGAGTAATATAAAAAAATAAAAAGCTACGATCTAATATGATTTTTTATTTGATGTTTTATACAGTCAATTTAAAGGTGTCAAATGAGTTGTGTTGTGTAAGCTGACACAACTCATTTAAATATTAGTCTATATTTTAATAGATCATGTTGGCTCAGCATTATTTTTTTAACATATTATGCTAATATGACACATAACAGTTAAGAGTATGGTCTTACACAGCACATAGCCCGTAATCTTGGGTCGTATCTTGCCTAGTGCAACATTATTTTTCGTATCAAGCTAGGCCAAGCACGGGCCCATTAATAATTTTTAAAATTTTAATTACTTTTTAAAAAATTTTTCATCTATTATTATGAAAAATAACATGTAAGAGATAATAAATATAGAATGAAATAAAAATAATACATAATTTACATGGTTCAACAAAATATATACATTCACAAAGATGAATAACCGAATCCACTAAATAAATATATTGAAATTACAATTCTAATTTTTTTTAAAAAATACACATCATCTATTCAATGTCCAGTAATTTACATATAACTAATATTTTATCGACAAATCCAATATTAGAAGTAAGTGAAATTCTAGAAAAAATTTATGATAAACTAAATATTAAAATTTTTTTATAAGAAAAATATTTTAAAAGTATATGATCTAACAGTATTTCTTAAAATTGTTTTATAATTAGATAGTATATCATTTTCAATTAAATTATTAAAACGTTCATCATCTACAAAAAACTAATGATTACTCAAACCACATTAAAAAGTTAGCTAATTAATTACGTCAATTATTTTGTGAAAAATCAAATGTACTTAAAGACCCATTAAAATGCTGACTAAGTGTAGTTTATGTGAGATCATTGGAAGCAATAAATGCAATCTCGTGTTTTTCTTATGTTTTTAAGATGATCAATCCCTCTTGTTTTTTAACTAAAATCTTTTTTATATATATGTTATAAGTTTTAGGTTTTGTTCATATAATTTTGAAAAAAAAGTTAATTTATTTTTATATACATAAATTTAAACAAATAAAAATAATTCGTACATCGAATGGTTCGTAAACTATTTAGAAATAATTTATTTATTAATAATTTAAATATTTAATAAGTAAATTTATTTAATATAATTTTATTATATAAATTACCAAAAAATAAATATAATTTCATTAAAATATAAAAAATAATATGAATACACTTAAACGCCAAAACCCATTTATAATAGTTATGGGCTAATATAGCACGACATATTTAGGCTTGTATATCATGTCATGCTAGCCCATATGTCACGTGCTAGTACTGGTCTTTAATAGGCCGTGCTGTGTCAACTTATGGGTTTAAAAACTTTTAATCCAACGTGGTACACATATATTTATCGTATTTGGCTTAATCCAATTATTTAATAGCAGATTGTGTTAAGCATAACTTGTATCAAACCTAATTATATCGTGTCATGAGTCATTTGATCTATTTGATAGCTCTAAGTTGATTATAAAACTATAGAATATAAAGCTTAATTTTTTGTTGTTGTTGTTACTGTGAAGGCTTTTGTTACAGTTGCTGGCAGTATAGTGGTAAATTTTGGCCCCGTGCTAAATTATGGATGGTGGTTGGTAAAGAAAAAAAAAAGACAATGGATTGAATGGAATTTTTTGGTTCACGACCCCTGTACTAGAGAGATTTGGCTTATAATGGCGGCTATGACTTGTATACACCGAATTTTGTCTAGGTCTAAATCTTATTTTCAAGTTATGTTTATTAATATTAAAATTAATAATTAATTAAACATATTGATAAAAACTAATTTTAAAAAATAATTTTTTTTAAAAAGGGGGGGACAATGGTGCCGTAAACCCATACCTTACCCTTGGTAGCAACTACCCTAAGACCCTGAATCACCTACTCCTCTACAATCCCAAGCCATACCCTAAACCTTCACTAGCCACCACCTACTCTGCCCACTATCCCAAAAATTGGCCCCTTAAAGGAACTATTCCAAACACCAATCCCTCTCACCCCCAGCATTCTACACCTTCTTACCCAGTGCCCAGGCCTTCGTTCGTGTGAGACTAGACCCCCATTCGACCCTCACCAAGCTCCAAGCTCTCCTACGCCTAGAAACCCCAAGTCTCCCACACTCAAAAAGCCCAAATCTCTTGGACGCCCAAAAACAAACCCTGTACCCAAAAACACCCAGCACTTATCAGAAAGCAAACAAAAAAAATAAAAAAATTAAACAATCACAAACAGTCCTCCCCGTATGGAGGAACCATCAACACCAAGCCCCTAAAAAAATTGAAACTTTAAATCTCGATCTATGCCGATCGGGGCTGTTCCTGGCATAAAGAATATTAGATCTAGAAAGAGCGTGTTAAGGAGAATTTTTGCAAGGTTTTAGCACTTTCTGACCACCTGTGGCGACACTAGATGGCAACTAGTGTGGCGGCACGGGGGCTGGACGCCAGACGTTGGCAAAACCTTTGGAGCTCTCTGGAGCTCTAAAATTTTTTTTAGTAGAAAAAAAGAAATGAAGTAAAAAAAATTTTAAGTTTTATATCGGGTTAAAGAAGCCTGAAATGATGCCATTTTAAGAGGAAAGGAATCGCGTATACCCGTGCACATGACCCAACCCAAGATCTATCGATCTAACCCAACAATCTGCTTCAACCAACCCTCAGCCAGTTCAATTGAACCGTTTATGAAACCGTCATTTTTTCAGTCCAGTTGAATCGGAGTTGACAGAACCATTGATCGGTCCGATTTAGATAAATTTTTTTTATTTTTTTAATTTATTTTTTATATATTATTTTTAGTTAAGCATGCTTAATTTTTTTAGAATAAATGTTTATTTTTTTAATATTAATAATAATAGTAAATAACAATAATAATATTAAATAAAATCTAAATTTTGGCATTTTTAGATTTCATTAAAAAAAACTTAAAATAAAACCTAATAAAATAACTAAAAATAACAATAATAAGAGTGGAAAATCATTTCAATTTTTTTTAATTATAATAAATTATAATAAAACAATAATAAAATAAATTAATAAATAAAAGAGTGTAATAACCAAATATGTTAAAAAAAAATCTTTTAAAAAAATGATAATAAGAATAAAGTGATAAAATTTTTTTTCTTATCTAGATGATGGAGGGAATAAAAATCGTCTTTTAAAAAAATATAATTTCGCCTAGATGTTGGGGAATTATTAAATAATAATAATATATAATATATAATATATAAATTAATAATATTAATAATAATAATTTTTTATAAAAAATATATATATGAAAATTTTTTAATTAATTTCCAAAAATTATAAAAATTAAACTTACTTCAAAAATTTGTCTAAATGTTGAAGATTTTTAAAGATATTCGCATTTTCTTTAAACCCTAAAACCTTCCAAACTTTAAAACTAAAATTCTAAACCTTTTAAACCCTAAAATCAAAATCATAAAACCCTCTAAATCCTAAAATCAAAACCCCAAAATCAAAACCTTCAAACACTCCAACCCCTAAAACTAAAATCCTAAACTCTTTAAACCCTAAAATCAAAATCCTAAACTCCAAACCTTAAAATCTAAACCTAAACCCTCCGAACCTTAAATTTCAAAACCATAAAGTCGAAGTCCTAAAATCTAAACCCCAAAGACTTGAAACCTCAAACTTCCAAACCCTTAAAACCTTGAAATCCAAAACTCTAAAAACTTCTAAACCCTTACAACTCTCAAATTCAAAATCCTAAATCCTAAATCCTTCAAACATTAAAATTTGAAACCCTAAACTTTAAATTTTAAAACCCTAAAACATCGAAACCCTAAACCTCGAAACCCTAACCTTAAAATTAAAACCCTAAAACCATAGACCCTTAAAACCCTAAAATTCAAAACACAAAAATCATTCAAACACTAGAATATCAAAAACTTAAAAAACCTAGACCTTAAAACCCCAAAACCTTAAAACTCATAACCCTAAAAATCCACCAAGACCCTAAATTTAACCTAAACCTTAAATTAACATGTAACCCTAAATCATCATCAAACCTTAAAGCCCTTCACCCAAACTCATGCCCAAAACCATTCTAAAATTCTAAGGATATGTATGAAAATCTCATGTGAAGTAATTTATTCCCAAATGCCACATACAAGATGGGATATTTAAAAAAAAAAAAATTCATTAAGTTTTTCGTACAAATCCTTAACCCACGATAATAATGAGATTAAAATAAAAAATATGTACACTGAAATCTTAAATATAAATAGTCGTACCAAACTCTACCAAATACTAGGGAGTTAGGGTAGTCTCATTATATTTACGAACCTAATTTTAAGTTGCATTTCATCACCTTGCATAACATCTATTAGCATACATACGTCATCATGTTATTGTTGGCACTCATTTTACATTTCTCTATCGTTA